GTACCTACCTGTATGCATAAATAAAATCTAAAAAAAAAAACTTCAATGCTTCCCTGAAATCACTCCAAACACACAAATTATCATTCGAAGCTTACAAAAGCATCAATATAGTGCTGAGATTATCTCCTATTTGTGACACTCCTCACAAGTACCCCATCCTTCCAGTGGGGTTCCTTCTAACCAAACTGGGAATTAGCAACTTGCATATTATCATCTCCCTACTTTCCTTTATTTTTTATAAAAACACCCCCTAAATTTACGGTTAAAATAGCAGGATGGGTCCCTCCCTGGTGGTGCAATGGGTTAAAGCACAGAACGACAAAGCAGCACTGTGAAGCTGGCCGGGAGCCACAGCTACTTCAGCACAAGTTCAATCCTCGGCCATGGAGGTGACCCATATGGCGCAGCAAACCGCTGTGCCCCTTTTCAGCAGTGTACTTGTCAGTCCGCCTGTTCTGCTCCCCACTCTGTCTCTGGTGAATCCTCTCACCACTGTTCTATACCCCAGTTCTGTGTGCATAAATATTTTCTTTTTAAAAAATAGCACAGATCGGGCCCTCCCTGGTGGCGAAACAAGTTAAAGCACAGCACTAAGAAGCTAAAGCCACTTCCACATGAGTTTGATCCCCGCCTGCCCTGGAGGTGACCACATGGTGCAGCAGACCTCTCCTGACCCACCCGCTGCTCCCCTCAGCAGTGTATTTTGTCGATCTGCCTATTCTGCTCCCCACTCTGTCTCTGGTGAATCCTCTCACCCCCCCCCCCGTACCTCTGGCCTGTACCCCATTTCTGTATGCATAAATAAAATCTTTAAAAAAAAAATAGCACAGATCAATTTTCACAATCCCACTTCCCCCTACTCAACTGTAGCCCCCACGAACTCTGCAGGTTTTAAACTCTGTTAATCACATATAAGAACAATTACACCAAGAACTATGTAATACTCCCCATTTTACAAAGCTCTTTTAGTTAAAATAACACTGGTTTATAAAGCACATAGCTTTTTTAACTTTCCACACTAATGTAAAACTTCATTAAAGATAGTGGCTCTCCTGCAAAAACTCCAAAGCACCATTATCTTCCAAACTGATATAATTCAATTTCACTGAATTAAAATATTTCATCATTATTTTAAAAAAAACAAAACAGAACTTGTTATATAGTCCCAAATTTAAAACGAACTGAGGTGGAAGAGGGAGATTCAATTTAAAGAAACTATTATCAAATGTTTATGTGATGGTCTATTTCATAGGGGAAAAAATAAACTCCTACCCCCCCCCCAAGCCATGCATTCCTTTGCAATTAACTGGGGGGAAGGACAGGAAAAGAACCTTAGAGATCTTTGAGGCACAGAATTAGTAATCACTAAATTCTACTTAATTGAAGTTCTTTTTAAAACATTTAACTCCACTTAATTTTATCCTTCATGTATATTTTACTATATAATGTCCCTATGGACATCACTACAGACTCAGAAAAGGCTAAATAGATAACTGGAAGTTTTGAAAATCCAGATTCTTACAATGTCAGACATACTAGTTTCTAGCTTTCCTGTCTTCACAAGATTCTTCACTGCCTTTGGTCTGTGACAAGAGAAGATAAAAATTCTTACACTTTTGAGAAATTTATTCTGTCTACTTTGTACCCCATATGGAAGCTATTGAAGCTGTATAGTTTCATCCTTTTAGAATTATAGAAAGAAGAAACCTAACATATTACCTGTTAAAAGTCCTAAACTCCCAAGTGCATAAATTAAATCTTTTCTGTTGACCTGAGTGCCTATATTTTTATTCCAATGTCAAATTAATCATGCCATTTTGGAGTATTAAATTGTACACTGAATTTTGAAACAAACCATTCTAATCTGTCTGTCTGGGAACCGTACAACTGCTGGATTACATCCCAAAAGACAAAGTCAAGAAAAGGGCAGACTGGCTAAGCGGCAATGCTAAGACCTAATTACTTACTCAACAATTTTAACTGAGAGCACACTGAAGGAAAGAAGCCCATTTGTCAGTGCTGTATACATCCTGCTAAAGGTATGCTTCCAGCCATGGTGGGCCTGCTCCCGCCCACATGACATTCATGTATTTAGCCACCTGGAACACTTTCTGTTAATATATGTGAAGCAGATCATGGGTGGCCCTGATCAACTCAACAGCCAGTTTCCAGACAAAATGACAAAGTAACACTAAAATTGACAGGAATCGTTTGAAGCCCCACTTTTTCAAAAGCATAAATCTAGAAAAATAGAGCCAAAAAAAAAAGACCAATACAGGAAGGCAAAGAATTTTTTTTAATCAAAATGATTCAGGTAAACCACAGTAATCTACTATCTTGAAGTAATCTAAACATCTTCAAGATATTTCGAGAAACAAATTAGTCCCCAGTTGAACAAGGAGGGGAAATCAATTCCATTTTGTCAGTTAACTGGAATCTATCACCTTTTTCAAGTGAAGAGGGGACAGAATAATAACCTCCCAAGTTTAATTTATGAAGATTGATGATTTGGCAAGCATCTCAAGTTTTTTATTTGCAATTTAACAACCACATGACCTGCAAACAAATCTAGTTATGCTATGGGTATTCCTTCACACTTCCTTCCCCATCCCCTATTCTACAAAAAAATCAAGTTATTTCCAATATTCTAACCTATTACCACTTCTTTGTAACCAAGCACATCCCAGTATCTGGCTACCTATGCTAAAAGTTCTGAGACTTTGTTACAGAGCATGGCTTCACAGAAAGCTCAGATTCTTACCCCCAACTCCCCACACACCTCAACTAATAAAGCACTTGAAAGAAAACATGGACATTAATACACAAGTACATATTCCACCAGTATATACATAACTCTACCATACCTGTTACTTAAAGTCAGGTGACCCCAGCATGTGGCGGCAACTGTTACTCCATTTATTTACAACTGCATGCTGCAATTTCTTTTCTAAAAGCTCTGAGACTACTTGAGAAGGGCACTTTCTTTCCTCCTCTTAAAGGATACTAAATTTTGTTGCATGTGCTGACCACAATAGTGAAAAATAATGGAAATCACTGTCAAATAAGACTCCTTAAAAAATCAAATTCACCTTCATTTATCACCTAAATGGTTACATGGAAAATTTTTAAATGTCATACATATCAACGTAAGTGCAAAACAATTAAGAATATCAATTACAAGGCCCTCCCTGGTGACACAGCAGGTTAAAGCACAGCACTAAGAAACTAGGGCCACTTCAGCATGAGTTCGATGCCTGCCCTGGGAAGGTGACCACATGGTGCAGCAGACCTCTCCTGATCTGCCCACTGCTCCCCTGGCAGTGTACTTGGTTGATCTGCCTGTTCTGCTCCCCACTGTCTCTGGCGAAGCCTTTTACAGCCCCTGCACCTATGGTCCTTACCACAGTTCTGTATGCAAAAATAAGTATTTAAAAAATACATCAATTATAGATAAAGTCAACTGATTTTATTTAAAGCACTCACAAACCTAAAAGTGATAAGGACCAAAGTAAAGCGGGTTTTCAAACATTTTTTAAAAAAACCACTTGGCATCTCAATTCTAGATGCAGGCATTAACTTTTTTTTTGAGTTTACATTTTTTTAAATAATGATAGTTCATTTTTACATCAATTTGTGCCTTTTCCCATCTCTGTGCAGGCATTAACTTTTTTTTAAATATTTTTTTAAAAAAGCCTTTATAATATCTTATTTCAAACTACCAATCATTCACATGTCTAAAAAAGAAGAGCAGACATTAACTTTTAAAGTCACCTGGTTACATGCAGCAGACACAGGATTTGGGGAGAGGTATTAAAAAGGGTGCAATGTGTAAGACCCATTAGCCAAGATTATTTTGTTCTTCCTATGACCTAAAACATTGCATTCTAACAATCTGCCAAATTATTTTCCAGGTACTGCCGAATTACATGTAACCACCAAGAAACAAGTCATTTCAACAGTACCATGTCTTGCATGTAACCAGTATCTGAATGATCATAATGCAAGTGTGCTTCAAGTATGAAAATCTCACAAATCATACCCTGAAACATTATATAGATCTAAGGAGTTCGCTGAGGCACTGGGCTAAAATGCAGTCTCTGAGTTATTATGCGCACTTATACAGGAAGAGAGGGAGAATACTAAATTAGGCATAACTGCCCCATGATTAATCAGAAAGACACACACACAAAAAATTAAGTTGATGCTCCTAAACACATATTCAACTCCAACTAGGCCCCAAAGCCAGCGCTCTGAGATCAAACCCGCCACACGGGCGAGTGGCAATTCTCTATTGCTCTAGGTGAGCAGGTGAGGGCCCACCCAGGGTCCAGGTGTAAACTGCTCTCCACCAATATCCTAGCATCGCACCTGCACCGGGAGAAAACTTCATTTCACAGGATCCGACCAGGGAGGCCCAAAGAACACCTCCACAGTCTCATCTCCTACCCTCAACTAGCCTCGCCTAAAGTCAAAGTAAGGTTTTAAGGGTTTCTCTTTTTTCCTGCTTGTGTGTGCTAATATTAACACGTGGGGTCACACACCGGATCGCTGTTAAGGTCTTTCACGTGGAGGCTTGAGCCTGGGCGGGTGCGGGACCACGGCGGCCAAGGCGTATCAGAGGGGGTCGTGGGCTCCCCAGCATCTCCCAACTCAGCCCCCAACTTGGGAGGAAGTGGTAACCAGAAGATCCCCCACCCCCACCCCCAGAGGCCCCTTTCTTCACTGTCCGAGAGCCAAACCCCTAGTGCAGTGCCTCCGTCGGGCGGCCCGGGTCACCGCTCCAGCCCGGGGCTGAAATGCAGGGAGAGGGGAGGCACTTAGGCCTCGCCGCCCGGAGGCCTTCCTCCCCCGGCCGGGCGGGAGAGGACCCAGGAAGCCGCGCCCGGGGCCCGGGGGGTGGAGGGCCTAGGCCGCGCCTCCCAGCCCGGCGGCCCTAGGCCTCGGCCCGCCCGAGGCGGGGCCCCGGGTCGGAGCGGTGGGCTGGGCGCCGGCTCACCCACCTGGGTTGCCAGTCATTCCAGCTCCGCGGGTACTTGGTGCCGCCGCCGCCGCCGCTGCTCAGCCGAGACCCCGGGGCTCTGCGGCTCATTACCTTCCCCGACACGACATGGCCAAGCGCCGCCGCCCGAAGAAGCGCGAGTCGCCGCCCGAACCGGCGGCCGCCGACACTCCGCTCCGGCCCGGGGGTGAGAAGGAAGCCGAAGAGGAGGAGGAGGCGGCGGAGGGCGGGGGAGGCGGACGGCCGTTCCGGGTTCCGCCTGAGCCCGCAGCGCAGGACGAGGAGGCGGGAGCGGCGCGGCCAGGGGGAGGCGGAGGAAGGGGAGGCGACGTCTCTTCCAGGGCCGTGCGCGGCCCGCGACGCCCGGGCCCAGGAGGAGGAGGACGGCGAGGAGGAGGCGGTGGCGGCGGCTCCTCACGCTCACACAACCACAGCTTCCCCGCCTCCCGACTCCGCCCGCCGCTGCCGCACGGCATGCTGGGAGCGAGGGGCGGTGTCAGCGCCCGCCGGGCCTGGGGAGAGGGGTGGGGCCGC